CGCATTGTCGCAATTTGCATCCTGTGCCTTTCTAGTTAACTAACTAGTCGCATCCACTTGGGAAATCTGTTTATGAAGCTTCTGCAGCTATTCCGGCCCTTGCCATGTGAATTGATCTAAATAACTGAGTGATCTCAGACATGCAGGTGCCTTGACCTGGCCTTTGGCCATTCGAGCTCGGCAGTTATGGTGCCAAATACAACAACAGCCCACTCTACTCTTAACGCGCACTAGGTTTTTATCTTGATTAAAATATGAATCCCAAGTGTTCTTATCTCTGGTAGCCTGCTGTCCTAAAGGGCACGCCTTCTCTTAGGAAACGAGGTTAGTTATATGGGCACAGTGATATTTAGGAATAAATAGTTTGGCTTAAATTGCTTTTATTCTAGAGGAGTATTGAGTCACCTATATTCATATCTTTGTCGACAGAAAGTCAGAGCCTATCATTACCTATCATGGATGTCATCGAGAGACTAGGAAAAAATGCAATATAGCCCCGTTTATATCATCCAACGACAGCCCTAGAGCTTCTCACAACACTAGGAAGGCGGCTACAGTAATGAATGGCTAATGTTAAGACGAATTGTATTCTATACAATCCATACGTTACAACGAATTTAAGCCTCCACCCACCAAGCCAGGGTAGCTAGGTAGCATGATGTGCACCGTGCAGTTGCATGCGGGAGCGAATGAGACCCCTAGAGCTGAAGGGCGTAAATTGGAGAAGCTATGATAGCATCAGCACATGGTTCGCCATTGGCGGTGAAGGATATGGCACATCTGATGCGGCGCGAATGCATGGCAGCGGGACGATGCCGTGGTGACAGACGCTTAGTTGCGTGTAAACAAATAGTGTTCATCATGGCAACATGACAACATTGGGCAAGGAAAGTGTCATAACTTATTAGGTACCTAGGTAGTTGGTTGGAGTGGAGGTCAGCATGATGCGAAAGAGAAGATTTGCCAGCCCATGAGGAGTGTGTTCCTTTGTACTAAACTTGTATCAGAGAGAAGTCATGCGTTTTTCTACCTGTTGAAATCATTGATTGATTGTTCTTTGTTTTGATGCTGCAGTCATGATATTCCCCAGGCCCTTTCCTTTATCTATCGCGTGTTTGTTTTAAGAGAGGCGGATACAGAGTACTGCAGCTGCATCGACACCCTAGGCTATCACAGCACGCACACTGCATCGCACCACCATTTTCAGACTCTCGCAGGTCACTTGAATCCTTGCTGCGGTTCAGACTTCCCCGGGTTTCTTTGCTTGTCTCCCTGTCCATCCCCTCTAGCCCCTGTATCGTCCCTGTTCGAACCCCTCCGGGAGAGGGTTTAGAAGCGGTGACAACGAACCAAACAAAGCCTGATGAACCTGAGGGCAAGAGTAAGATGCCGGCTGCTCTCATATTGAGGAGAATCCAACTGCTTCTTTCTCTGATCCAACACAGTCCCTCTCACTTTATTCCATCAACATTCACAGCGTTGGTACCAGTGTCGCTGAATCACTTTTCATCTATTGTTATCCTTTCTTTGTCAATAGCTTCACTCCACTTTGAGTCTGAGCACAGCCGACTTCTCCTGCATATCCGAACTGTCGATTGTTTATATACACGCATACATCCCACCCATAGCTACATGCTTTCTGACTCCCGCCGTCTTCTTCTGTCTCTATCCCTCTCTTTTTCCCAGAGACACGACTGATTACTCCCATCATCTCGTTTAATCCCCACCACCTCACCCTTTTCGAATTTCCGGTCTAGGCATTTGTCCCGCTGCGACAACATCCATCGTGTCACATTTCTTCCGTCGTTCAAGTTCTCCGGTCACTCACCTCTCGACCGCCCCCGAAACGTCGGTACCTCAGCTCTCCAGCAACAGACCACCAGCCGATCAAGTACCCAAACTGCCAATACATACCCGTGCTCATTCCCACTAAAACGAAAGCCAAAGCTAAAAGCCGACGGTACCTGACGGGAACTAAAAATATTGTTAGCACAGCCAAGAAAAGCTCGTTGCTCCCCGAGAACAAAGGTTGCCCCCCTTTTTGCCAGATGCGGCGTGGGGTGTAAACAAATGAGACACGCCCGCAATCAGCACCCGACACCGAAATAAGGGCCCCCCAGCTGGGCCTTGCCGCCTCCCAAGATGCCTTCTGCTACAACAACAACATCTACGGTTCCTCATAGGCCAACGACTCCAAAACTCCGTCCCAGGAGCTCCTCACGCGCCATCCGAAGACCGAATAGCGCTGCATCAACCCCTAACCTCAAGTCCGCATACGCTTCGCATTCGCGCGCCGCGCCGCCGCCTCTACCACGCAAAGGTTCCCTGGCCCAGCTCACACAAGGCTCCCTCGCCAGCATTCCCGATGTTTCTGAGAGCTACGCAGTTGATACTGTCCTGAGCGACTCCTCACAAAACATGATGCCTCCTGCGACGCCCGGTCGCTCACAGGCTGTGAACGTTGCGCTTGGTGATATCGTTGATGTCCCTGGTGGAATGCATGGCGTTGTTCGTTTCGTTGGTCCTGTGCAAGGTAAGAAGGGAGTTTTTGCTGGTGTCGAGCTCGACCAAGACTTTGCTAGCCGAGGCAAAAACGATGGCGATGTAGACGGGTAAGAATAATACAGTGTAGTCTCTCATGAGTTTTTAGACACTGACAGTAGCCAACAGCATATCATACTTCACAACAACAATCCCTGGCGCCGGTATCTTCTTACCAGCCGCCAAGGCCCTTCCTCGTCGCGATTCGATTCCGCCCTTTCCCATGACACCAGGCGCGATAGGTGGACTTCGGGCTGGCAACCAAAACTCACTCAACTACACTTCCCCAACACCTGGTCTCCCCAAGTTCAGTGCTTCTGTTGGACCCGGTGCCCGGGCTCCCAGTCCTCAGCAAAAGCTGGCACCCAGAACTTCCCTTCCCCGGCCCGACTCTCCTGTACGCCGGATGCAGATGACGCCTGGCCCAAGGCCCTCCATGACAACACCAGCCAAAACACCCACCAGATATGGGAGTCCAACGCAGTCACGCTTCGCTCAGAGCGTCCGCGGTACATCAGGTGATCCGAGCAAGAGACCTCAGAGAATGGATCGAAAGCCAAGTCATGGACCACGAAGTGCTTCAGCCTTGGGGTCGATATCAGGCCTTGATGATGATCCTGCCCCTTTGGGAATCCAACGAACCGGTACTAATGGAAGCTCCGGGTCAGTCTCGTCGTTCGCCATGAAGATTCGGCCTGCGTCGCGCATCAACGTTAATGATGAGGAACTCGATCGGCTGCGATCACAGATTGAAGATCGTGATCGGCAACTAAAGGAGCAATCCGCTACATTAGCCGACATGGAGAGTAGCCTAGTTGAACTGCAAGGTCTCATGGAGCAAGCAGACATGCCGACAGTGCAACGAAACAGCTGGGACAACAAGGACACCGCGCAGCTGCGCCAACTACTAAGAGAAAAGAACGACAAGATAGCCATGCTCACAGCAGAGTTTGACGCTCATCGAGCTGACTTCCGGAGCACTATCGACACTCTGGAGCTTGCCAGCACCGAAACTGAGCGCGTGTACGAGAAACGGATAGAGGAGCTGATGGCCGATGTTCGAGAACTCGAGTCACGTAATTTAGACGTCGATTCTGTCGCGACCCAACTAAAGCAACTGGAAGAACTGGTCCAAGAACTCGAGGAAGGTTTAGAGGATGCTCGTCGGGGTGAAGCAGAAGCTCGAGGGGAAGTTGAGTTCTTGCGAGGGGAGGTTGAGCGAACAAGGACAGAATTGCGTCGCGAACGTGAAAAGTCATCGTCGGCTCCTCCAGCAAATGGCGATCATACAGTATCTTCCAAAGAGCTTGAGCAAAAAGACGATGAGATTAGAGGCCTCAAAGCTATCATTCATTCCCTTAGTCGAGACTCTATTCCCGGGGAGCCCAAGCCTCCTGCGCCAAGGCCTGGTTCATTGATGGCCGAAGATGTTGTGGCGAATAAGATCGCGCGCGACAACCTCGAGCGACAAGTTGCTGAGCTCCAATCTCTCCTTGAAAAGAAGAACAGTCGTGAGGACGAACTCGAGAAGGAGCTTGAATCAATCCGTCAGAACGGCACAGCGGCCAACAGGTCTTCTTTCAGAGACTCCCGAGATACCGTCGTAATGGCCCAGGCAATGGAGAACCGGCCAGTCGAGAACCTCAAGAGATCCAGTACCGCTACACACAAGCGGGTCAGCACCCTCGACACAATGCCAGAGAGTGACGACTACTCCAATGCCACAGAGACTAGCACCCTCTGGTGTGAGATCTGTGAGACTAACGGTCACGATATCCTAACCTGCACCAACATGTTCGGTCCTGATGGCGCCAAGACCAACGGCGAGTCCAAGGCCATCAAGAAGGCCAGTCGCGAGGAGCTTAAGCCGCATACCCCTACAGGTGATGACGCCCCTGCGCCCCTCACGCCATTCAGACTCAAGAGTGCTGGACCTCCCTCTCCTGCAGTTAAGATCATGCCGAACCCAATGGAGTCAGGCCCCGTTGCTGGCAAGGAAAGTGGCATCATGGACCCCGAGAAGTGGTGTGCGCTATGTGAGCGTGACGGCCATGACAGCGTGGATTGTCCCTTCGAGGATGCCTTTTAAGGGCCAAATGCAAATATTTGTTTTCTTAACGCATGGCATGTTGGAGAATCATTGGAACGACCAACGCGGCTTTTCTTGACGCCTCGCGAAGGACCATTAAACTATGCTTGGTGTAAGGGGCGTGATGAAAATCGCCTCATGCATGCATCCGCTCTTCATGTTCTTATTTTCGACGCTTTGGTCGGCAGTCAGGTTTTGAATGCTTGGTCTTTGTCTGGTAAGGCACTGTTCGTGATACCATATTCTTACTCGTGTTTTATATCATCAACCTGTCGTGTAGCACTTGTCCGTAATACTATATGGCATGTTATATCAGACTGTCTTTAGGTCAATATTCCTTGGTAATGTGAAGTTAGTAGTTGTGTGTTTTCTATCGCCTCGGTGTACCCTGAAACATGTCGCTGCCTATATTTATTTCCTGCGAGATTTGTATTCTCTCCCCTCGAGCACTATGCCACCACCGAACACTCTTCCACAGCTCACCATCCCACTCACCTGCTAAAGCACGATACTTCATTAAAAACCATATACTGGGCTCCCAACTACGTGAGTCCCATGGCACACCTGCACCCATGCCACGTGAGTTCATTCCAGCTCCCCAGCATGTGAAACCGCCGGAAAGAATATCATGGCACAAGGCCCCTTCATCAATGGCATTAGGATCTTGGTCGAGAACGGTGATGAGGTTCTCACGGAAGGTTTTGAACGGAATAACATCCTAGCTGCATTAGTACACAAGAGCATGAAGTCGTCCATACTGACACACAATATAAGGATGATGACCAAACGTTAACTGTTTCTCAATCGGCTGAAGATCAGATGATACATCCAAGAATCTTGACTTCACAAAGGACAACTTTGATGGATGGTGACCTTCGTCCGACGTGACAGAGAACACACTGCAACCGTCATCGTGGAGTATCTCGTCTACACCCCCCATACCGAGAGCGTAGCAGTTTGCGAATATTGCACCAAATATTCCCGGCTCCATCGTGTATTGCGTTGGGAAAAGCGATGGTCTGGCATTTGCTGTCCTGAACAATGCTTTGGCAAATAGGATGGCTTGGATTTGACCAGGAGTCTGATGTAGCATCTTTTGTGAAGGAGATGGAGATTTTGGTTCCCAGGTATCCTTTTGTAGGTGACGAAGAAGATATTGTTTCTGTTCAATGCTGAGTCTCTCTACCCCATATAGGACGTCTTTCAAGGAACTATCGTCATTGCTCGATGCTCCTTGAGAGCATCTGTGGCTAGAGTCTGGACTATCCTCGAAGACTTCTTCTATGACCCTATAGCCTATGCAGTCTGCTGGGGACTGGCCTGTAAACGTTGGGGATTTTTGTATAAGCCCATGCATGACAGCTTCCCATTGCTCATGAGATCCAAGGTTGGGAGCGTTGCCTTTGTCAAGCACTGGGGGAAACTCCGGTGCCAGTTGGTTAGGAATGATCGTCGGAACCGACTCATGGGTAAAATCCGCCCAGGTTTGCGGCACAGAAGAGGTTTCAGTGCCATCGAATGTGTTGAGATCCAATGTTATGAGATGGCTAGTCAGAGGTGCTGGAGGAGGGCTGATGTCACTCGAACCACTGGGGCCCGGAACATCATCTATATTACCGTCACCGGTGATGCTAGGAAGGTTGCTAGGGTCTAAAAGCTTATTCAGAAGGGCGAGCTTCTGCTTCCGCTTTTCGCCTGTGATCCCAAGGGTGATGGTGTCAGTATGGTCGAGTCTGCCGATATGACATGCAACTTCGGATCAGGAAGAGTACATACGATAGTTTCGGCTAGCAAGACGGTTCTGTTCACGGCGTGCCTCGCTATTGCGTTTGGCTGACGCCTTGCCCTTCTGAATCTTTGTGCTCTCACCCATAATATTCCATTGGATGGCAACGAGGTGAGATTAGGGTAAGCAGATGTGAGGGATGACGGATGACTGTGGCACCAAGGACTATATGTTTTCTTCTTCTTCCGCTTTTATCACTTTGAGCTTATTGGGGGCACAAAGGGCTTTCTGGTTAATGCTGGATTATTGTCGTTCAAAGGTATTAAAATGTTTTGAGTCGCAGCAAGATTGATTGACGCTTCAGTACATGAACACAGGGTTGAAGTTGTGAGTTAAGCAAGCGGTCCCACTTTTAGATTTCCAATTCCTTACTTGTAAAGCAGTAGTGGTTTATTGACCAATCACATTAATCACTTTACTGATTTTATCGTTCCATGAGGCTCTGTGTACTCAAAGGTAAACTAACCTTAGGGAGCTGGGGAGCAAGAAAACACAAGACCCAAGTTTAGGGTGATAAAATAAACTCTACAAAAGGTATCCTAAACCTATCCTGAATTTACCTAAGTTACCTAGATATTTTATTACTTTCAGGTCCCGAGTTTTATTCCCTCCCCTAGCCTAACTGAGGGAAAGCAAAGCAACTTTCAAGATAGGTATCTACCTAATAATCTATTTAGGTACTTCTGGGTCAGAGGTTTCCTATTTTCTGAAGGGTCAGAGTGTATCCCCCGATCTTTCATAACACCAGATCAGAAAAGTCTACAGCACGAAAGTAGTGCTTGCGTCAAAACTGACGTTGCTTGAAAGACGAAACTGGAGACTCGTGGAATACCATGGGTTGTTTCATCGCCCGAGAGAAGCCTTGCGATTATCTCACATGTCAACGTTCTGTGTAATCTCATTATTCAAACCTGCATGGTCAGGGAGGTACTGGTAGGACACAGGGTTTGTTTATAGTACAACAAACAATACATGTGTAATTCGGGGACCCCAGTTGATTGAGAGGATGGTGGAAGTTTCCAGGCTCTGGGCAAAGCACGCGACTTTTTGAGTCCATGCTGACCATTTATAGATACATCTGTTGGAACAATGTAGGTAGTCAAAGAATACGGAGCATAACGGCATCAAACCATTAACTGTCATGCGCCCTCCGAATCAGGTATTCTAGCTTCCGCGGTGACAGGGGATGTCAGGCAGGCTTTTTTGAAGAGGCGAAGAGTGAGCGAATCAGTGCAACACGCTGCATGCCCGGACAGGAGCATCGGGGTCGGGTTGTGGGGTCCTAAATCGGACCCTGCGGCTGGAGAGAAAAAAATCGAAGCCCGAGAACTTTTGGCCACTGCAGGAAGGGCCCTAGTAGGGGCCCTTTGGAGGGGTTCTGGGGACGCCTTGCAGGGAGGTCTGTTAGTGAGGTACCTACACAGCCTGGACAGCCTTGTATGACACCTGTTGAGGCAACGGATAACGGATGGGGGCGTGTGTGTTTGTTCGGTGTTAGGTACGGGTGTAAGCAGCCCGTCCGTATGGAGGCTAGGGAGGTAAGTACCTTAGTTGCTGGTACCGGATGCTGCAGTGTGGCCCTAGGATGGCAGGATGGGCTTTGGAGCCCTTGTGTAGAAGCCCCTGGAAAATCCGGAGACACTCTAGAAGAAGATGCAGAAAGATACAGAAAAATGGAAATGAAAATTCGGGTTGGCTTTCTTTCAACAGGTTTTCCGCCCTTTTTTTTTTGCCGCGTCACAACCTTCAGCCGAGACCTGACTCCAATAGCCCGCCCGCCAGTGTGGTTGTGGTTACTACTGTGACGCACTAAGACACAGGTCATGCATTATCAGCACCGCCACAGAATCTACATTCTTCCACACAATTCCATGAGGCGCGACTGTGCTGCAGCCTCCCCTTCTTCCATCTCAAAACCCGTCCGCTCAATCCAAATTCAAGTCTCAGCGCCTGATCTCGACTCAATTTGAACTTGACGTTTGACTCACGTTTTTGTTTGAGACACTTTTCTCTCTCTTCTTCTCAGTGGGAATAAACACCCCTCTGTTTTGACATTTGCGAATTTCAGCGCCCTCTTATCGATCGCCTTTCCCCCTCCACTTATTATTCGAATCGAATTTTAGAGACCAAAACCCGTTCAAACTCGCCGCAGCGCAGCCCCGCCGTCCGTCGGGAGACTCGAGATACATACACCCTTTGGCGAACAAGGTACGCATATAAAAGCACTGTCTTCTCCCTGTGCCAGATCCTCCGTGTACGGTGTTGTCATGGTTGATCTTCTTTGCACATCATATCGCTGTTGCGCGCATGAAAATCTGCGTCTTTGTTTGCCTTGTCTGTGCCTTACTAATATTCAACAATAGTCCTCGCCTCCCCTGTTATCTTGGACCCTAGGGTAACAAAACACAACTCGAACAACCGACACAATGGTCAAGGAAACCAAGTATTACGATACCTTGGGCGTATGTTTTATCGACCCCCGAACAAACTTGGAACAACTGCTAAACCACATCACAGGTTGCCCCTACTGCTACTGAGCAGGAATTGAAGAAGGCTTACAAGGTCGGAGCCCTCAAGTACCACCCTGGTATGTATTCCAAGACCCTCTCTACTCAGTTCAACATGTCTAATGTAACACAGACAAGAACGCACACAACCCCGACGCCGAAGAGAAGTTCAAGGAAATCTCTCACGCCTACGAAATTCTTTCCGACTCTCAGAAGCGACAGATCTACGACCAGTATGGTGAGGCCGGCCTCGAGGGAGGTGCCGGCGGTGGTGGAATGGCCGCCGAGGACCTCTTTGCTCAATTCTTCGGAGGTGGAGGATTCGGTGGCATGGGCGGCATGTTCGGCGGTGGTGGTATGAACCGTGGCCCCCCCAAGGCCCGTACCATTCACCACACCCACAAAGTTACCTTGGAGGATATCTACCGAGGCAAGATCTCTAAGCTCGCTCTCCAACGGTCGATCATCTGCCCCAAGTGTGAGGGTCTCGGCGGTAAGGAAGGTGCTGTCAAGCGATGCACTGGCTGTGACGGCCATGGCATGAAGACAATGATGCGTCAAATGGGCCCCATGATTCAGCGCTTCCAGACTGTCTGCCCCGACTGCAACGGAGAGGGTGAGATCATCAAGGAGAAGGATCGTTGCAAGCAGTGCAATGGAAAGAAGACCACCGTCGACCGCAAGGTCCTCCACGTTCACGTTGACAAGGGCGTACGCAGCGGCACCAAGGTTGAGTTCCGAGGTGAGGGTGATCAAGCGCCCGGTGTCCAGGCTGGCGACGTCGTTTTCGAGATTGAGCAGAAGCCCCATGCCCGCTTCACTCGCCGGGATGACGACCTCCTCTACAACTGCGACATTGAGCTTGTCACAGCTCTGGCTGGTGGCACAATCTACATTGAGCACCTCGACGACCGATGGCTTGCCATTGATATTCTTCCCGGCGAGGCTATTTCTCAAGGTATGTTTCCACTATGATGCGTTCAATAACCGTAAGCTAACTGTTTTAGACGCCGTCAAGATGGTTCGCGGCCAAGGTATGCCCTCTCCCAGGCATCACGACTTTGGCAACATGTACATCAAGTTCAACGTGAAGTTCCCCGAGAAGAACTGGACCGATGATCCCGAAGTTTTCGAGACCCTCCGCAAAGTTCTCCCACCCGCCACGCAGAACGCACCTCCTGGCGATGCCATGTCCGAACCCGCCAGTCTCGAGGATCTGGATAACACAACCCAGAACAGAGTATTTGGCAACTCCGATGGTATGATGGACGAAGACGACGAGGATGGTCATCCCGGCGGTGAGCGTGTGCAGTGCGCCTCGCAGTAAACCAGTCGGAAGAGAGCGGCGCAATAAACACATACGGCGAGTGCCATAACTGCGTCAGTTGCATGCGCGACTAGGGCATTTCGCACATCCACAGTCTTGGTCAAAGACAGTGCAGCTGAGGGTGGACGTCAGTCCTTGTCGACGACGTCGCTTAATCGTTCAATGATACCAAAATTAGCAGAGGATATGGTCTACTAGGAATTGTGAGCGAGTGTGGTACTGGGGATAAGGTGCAGTTGAGTGGGCACCTGAGTTGAACTTCGAACAATCTCGTTTGAGGGGTCAGTGAAGGTGGAGGGGCTTTCGATCAGGCTTGGCTGGCGTTTTGAGGATATAGACGATTCAAATGAATTTGGTAGTAGCAGACGTAGACCATGAACATGATGATTTGTTTGTTATTCTGATATGGGTTGGTAACATTTACCAGTAAAGCATAAGTGACAAGAGAAGTGGACCGAGGAACCGTCAAAGCTTCAAAAGGATACCTGGCTAGGGAAGGAAAGCAAACTCAGGACCTTGATCCTAGGTGACAGAAGACTTAGGCAACTGAGCATAAGTTTAGGATAAGTTTATTATAGACTTAGGACAACTCTACTAAGTTTATTTTAATGCCCTATACTACCTCAGGTCTGGTGTTTTCTTGCTCCCGGAGGCATGGTCCACATCCTCGCAAGATACCTATGTCCAAGTTGCTAAGTGCCAAGCACATTGCCTCTTTCACTGTCTACTAGATACTCGACTACCTAGTCTAGGAGTATCACAAACTCGTCTTTGTAGGGTTGCGGAAATGGCCTTTTTCCATTGCGGTACTGGAAAATTAATTTCTTTTTCTATTACTTTTAGTACATCCCTATTGCTCCTCAGGAGGCCCAGCCTCTTCCATCATTTGGTCTTCGGGCACCTGCTCCTCACCCCTTTCTTCTTCCCTTTCCGTGGCTTGTTTTCTCAGAGGTTCGGTGTTATACAAAAGACTCCTCACGGTTTTCTCATCGACATCAAGTTCAGTGCTTTCGATATCGTCGCCATCTACCGAAGCTATGGTGCTTGTGGCGAGCTTCTCGTCAGTCATGGTAAGTGAGTAGACAGCCAGGCTTCTTGCTTGCGTAGGATCGCTGGGGTCCAGAGCAGCGACGATCTTGGGTGCTTCATTGCCCTCAGCGGGTTTGATAGAGAGGCTGAGGGGCTTGCCGGGAAGCTGGATAATAGCTGGGCGATTAAGGGCGTGATTTTTGGTGAGTTGCCATGAAAAGATTGCCGAAATACTAATCAATGTGAGTTGCGTTATAGGGCATCAATGGATAATACACTTACTCTTGACATATGGCAAGAATATAAACAAGATCCGAGCCATCGTGTGGATATACCAGGCTGTAAAGCCCAGACACGGCTACCTTTGTAATCTCGGGCAGTATCTTTTGAGCTAGTGACAAGATGCTGATTTTGGAGAGTAGCTTGTTTGATTTCCAGTCCCAGACGAACAAGTCCTCATCCCCACCACCCGACACCAGAACATCACCACGCGAGGCTGGAATGACCATGGAGCTGATGAACTCTGTGTGACCGAAGCAGAAACCCTCGATGACATATGACTGAGGAAAGTATCTTGAAACCCGAATATGTTCATCACGGTCGGCAGTAAGAATGTATCGCCGACCCTCACTCTCACCGATCACGAGTGCAGTAAGCATAGAAACATGACCAAGCAATAGAGTAATCTCAAAGTCTGGACCTTCGGCTTTGGAATTGCTGTCGTTTTTGTTCCGTGAAGAAAGCTCCATCTGTCTTTGCTGCTCTTGAAGAGCTCGCAGGTTGCGCTTCGAGTGAACGGTTGTAGTATTGGCAGATGGTTTGTAGGCCGGTTTGGCGGGGACAGGGGTTGAAGCAGTTTGGAGAGTAGGATCGTAGAGGAGAGGCAGAGAGTAAACGTCTCCAAATTTATCAGCGACAATAATCTGAGAGTCTTGACCGATAACGACATCACTAGGGCGTTTGGGAAGAGTTCTGGCCTAGAATTAGTATACGGGCTGGGCTTTTTTTCTATACGAGCTTACCGTTTGCTGATTTGTTTGAGGGAGCCCTTCCCATCATTCTCAAAGACCCAGATGGCCTTGTCATGTCCAGTGATAGCCAAGATATAGGAGCTATCAAGAGTACTTGTCACATGCGTAATGACTGGGCGATCAGGCACGCGTGAGATGTTGTGATCCTTTGCTCGTTGCTGATTTTGTCTGTTCTTGCTCTTCTTTCCACCCTTCTTTTTCCCCTCGCTTTTCGTCTCCTCCGAGATTTGAGTATCCTCCTGGACTTCTGGCTTGGTTGGAGCTGTCTCATCTTTTGGCTCTTCAGTTCTTTGTCTCTTAGCTGGCGGTCCACCCCCATCTTCTTCCTCGGCGGTATGAGCCTTTGTCACGGGTTTCTCAGTAAAGATGCCATCTGAAATCGCCTTGACTGCCGCGTCTACTTTGTCAACATCTGGATGTTTCCACGTCGAGATGTGAGATCCATCCTCAAGGCTAAAAGAATGAATCTTGCCTCCTCGAGCAGCAAAGAGAACATTTCCACTGACGTGGACAACGTTGAAGGGAAATTTCATGACGCCTGAGCCCCTGTGAGTTGATTGAAGATTGGTTATAAAATCGATGAGATTTGATTTGATACTGGAGCAATTGCTCGGTGACAGCTCAAATCAGACTCTTCGAAGTTCCACTTTCATGCCCGGGCGGACGTGATAGAAAAGATACATCGAGAATGTACCTATGCTTAGTACCTTACCTAAGGTACCTTACCCCACCTAAGCCACCTGGGTTGCGCCCAAAGAAGACTAGCGTCTCCATGCCCTAAGCGAATTCACATTACATTTTCCGAAACTGCCAAAAGAGTTTTCTCGTCTTCATCAACATCTTCATCAACCTCCAATTTCATTTTACGATACCCCTTGCCCTTAAATACTCCTGCCTTCAGAAAAATAAGAAGATATGGGGGGCAAGTCTGAGAACAAGGCCAACTATTTCGACAAGCTCAAGGGCTTGCTCGAGGCCTACAACTCCATCTTCATCGTCGAGGTTGACAATGTCAGCTCCCAGCAGATGCACGAGATCCGACAGGCTCTCCGAAGCAAGGGTGTCGTCCTCATGGGCAAGAACACCATGGTGCGTTCCTTTATTCGAGGATGAAGACACCGTCCGGTTGCTAACAATATTTCCAGGTTCGCCGAGCCTTGAAAACCTTCATCCCTGACTCCCCCGAGTACGAGCGTCTCCTCCCCCACGTCAAGGGTAACGTTGGTTTCGTCTTCACCAACGACGACCTTAAGGAGGTCCGTGACATCATCCTCGCCAACAAGGTCGCTGCTCCTGCTCGTGCCGGTGCTCTCGCCCCTGCCGATGTCTGGGTTCCTGCTGGAAACACTGGTATGGAGCCTGGAAAGACCTCTTTCTTCCAGGCCCTCGGTGTCCCCACCAAGATTGCCCGTGGTACCATTGAAATCACCACTGATCTCAAGCTCGTTGAGGCCGGCTCCAAGGTCGGTCCCTCCGAGGCCACCCTCCTCAACATGCTTGACATCTCTCCTTTCACCTACGGCATGGGTATCTCTCAGGTCTACGACCAGGGACAGTCTTTCCCTCCCAGCGTCCTCGACGTCGGTGAGGAGCAGCTCCTCAAGACTCTGTCTCAGGCTATCACCACCATTGCCACCATCTCTCTGGCATTGAACTTCCCCACTTTGCCATCTGTTCTACACTCGGTTGTCAACAGCTACAAGAAGGTTCTTGCTGTTGCGATCTCCACCGAGATCACATGGCCCGAGATCGAGGAGCTGAAGGACCGCATTGCCAACCCCGACGCTTATGCTTCCGCCGCTCCTGCCGCTGCCGCTTCCGGTGGCGCTGCCGCCCCTGCTGAGGCTGAGAAGAAGGACGAGTCCGAGGAGGAGGATGAGGACGAGGAGGGCTTCGGCGGTCTTTTGTATGTGAACCCCTCTCAATACCTTGTGAAGATGACTAACAAATCTGCAGCGACTAAATGTAGTCACACCAACCGGATGTACGACTGCCTTCCAGGACTTTGGCTGGGTTTACGACTTATGTATCTTAAAAAAGGGGCACATAGATCGTCTGCTGGACAATTGAATCTGTCGCGACGGTTACGAATCAAGTTTAAGGATTCAACATGCGAGTGAAAGCTTTTCCCAAACCGACTAATGCAGCTCTGCTGGAGTGCGATATTCAAAAAGGTTAGTAAGACAAACATCAAACATTCTTTTTTTTCTTTTTTTCCCTTTTACATTTCCGGATGATTATATAAATTGTTCAAGAGCTTTTTAACCCTGAATCTCCTGATGACACACACATCACCACCCTATGACGGACACCCATTACAATCATGTTATTTTGACATCCTGTCTTTTGAAAGTATCAAAGCTAATGGGCAAATTATACAGGTCTCCTCGCCCTCGATTGTTCTCAAGCCTCCGCAGTGTGATGTCCGTGCATGTTTATACTAAACGAATTTAATAGCCGAGCTAAACTGTAGGATATGAGAAGAATGGTGATACATAATCATATTTACCAAGAGAGAGCTTGCACTTCTTGTTAATCTTTCTATTGTACTTGGAAGTCTAGAACTCTTGCACGTTCCAGGCACGGACTTGAGTTTGGAGATGAGCCAATATTGATTAATACTATACATTCGTTGCATTCTTACGCCTTGTAGTTTGTCTTATTATCCATTATCCCATGAGCTTGCAAGAAGACATCATCAAGCCTTTGAATCTTTATTATTGGCCCTGTCTGCCGCCCCTCAGAGGCACGACTTTGTTTGCCGTCAATACATACCAGAAGTCACCTATATGAAGTCATCTTGCTTCAAGGCACGTTTCGCTACCTCAATAGCTCGATCCGGTAGCCCAGCAAGCCTTGCGACTTTCAGTGCATGACTCTGTCGGTTAATACCTCTCTGAAGTTTGTGGTTGTAGAAGAAACCTCCCTCGCCATCCTCGACTACATTGGTGCAATATGTCTGAACAACACCTGTCTCGGCTGAACGCAATCCCTCTTCTTGAGCTAAGTCAGCCACAGTGTGGAAGTGTGTCGCAAAAAGGGTGCGACATTGGTTAACGGTCGCAAGGTGATGCAGGCATGCGAAGGCGACAGCTGCGCCGTCCTCCGGCGTGGTTCCCCGACCGATCTCATCCATTATGACGAAAGACCGCGGTGTTGCCTGCTTGAGGATCGCTGCTGTTTCCAGCATCTCAACCATGAATGTGCTTTGATCGCGGTAGAGGTTGTCAGCTGAGCCCACTCGGCTAAAGATAGCATCCACAATCCCCAATTCTGCGTATGATGCAGGCACATAGCAGCCGATCTGGGCCAAGATCGTGATGAGAGCATTCTGACGTAGAAACGTACTTTTGCCGGCCATGTTGGGACCTGTGATCAGCCAGATCCGGCCGTCAGTTGGCGATCCGACCAGACAGTCGTTCCTCACAAAGCTTCGACCCTGCTCATATAGGCCTCCCTCAACAGTGGGATGTCTGCCGCCTATAATGGTATGACTAGTCGTGTTGTTCAGAACGGGCCGCACGAGGTTCTGCTCGCGAGCTAACTTAGCGAAGGAGGTCGTGATGTCAAGTTCATCGAGGATGGTGGCATTACGGCGCAGCTTGACAAGATTTTTGACGACAAGTTCTCGAAGGGAGTGGAACACGGCTTGTTCTTCAGCACGAATCTGGACACGAACTTGGTCCATACGCTGCCCGAGAAGTGTCCATTCGGAGATGTGAAAAGATCTTGTGGAACGACTCGAGGACAGAGCTTGTACATCAGCAAGATTTCGAGCATCTTTTCCCTTGGTATGGGCAATGTGGCCAAGGCCGGGTGTCCACTTGAGGGATAGACTAGGAGCATTGAATCTTTGGCGGAGGGTTTCGTTGAGTGTCGCTTTCTCTTCTGTCAAAGACGCGAGATCAGTGTGAAGCTTTGCCAAGTTTGGGCTCGCAGCAGGTCTCATGACCCAGGCTCCATTCTCTTCGGCGTAATAATCCCGAATACTGACGGGCCGTTTTCGCTTGCCCTTAGGAAGAGATGCCGCATCGTCCTGCGAACCTTCGTTGCTAACGACAATCTCAGCAAGGGCTAACATCTGGCTGGCCTCGGAGTCTTGGGCGTCATGCTGTAACACAACACCTTCTTCATCGATTGCATCTCTGATGCGCTGGGAAAGTTTCAGGGGCTGCGTGAGACTGATTCGAGATAACAATGAAGTTAGGCAGTGGTGCTCTGACTTGCGAGATGCAGCGTTGGCATTTTTCAAGAGATTCACGACATCCCTGGTCGCATCGATGGTACTGGCCAGATCGAGGAGGTCATCAGCATCGCCACGGCCAAGTGTGAATTTCTGAACAAGTCGCTGAGAGTCGTGACTCCTACGCAACAAGAGGATTACGGAGTCACTCAGGTTTACATCGTCGATGAAGCGGGTGACGAGGTCTTGTCTACTAGTGATGAGCTCAAGAGACGTGGACGGTGCACTCAGCCACTCGTTGAGGAGTCGAGCACCGCTTTTAGTAACAGTGCGACGAATGGCATGTAGCAAACTACCCCGGAACACACCATCACGAATGGTTTGCTTGATTTCAAGAGCACGCATGCTATTTTTATCAACAGCCATGATCTGCATGTCTTTGTTTCTTAGCGGAGGTTGCAACTTCATACTCATGCCTTGAAGTCGATCCTTGACATAACCAAGAAGGAAGCCGGCAGCGTGTACCTCAGCTGGTGAGAAGGCGGATGCTTCATGTTTAGCTAGGGCACACTCTAGCATGGGCGTCCAGTTTTCCGGATGAAACAGCGAAAAATCATGCGGGCAGGGTGCGTATGAGATGATGTGACGATCCTCAGTGAGGAGGTCGGATAGGCCATTGTCAGGGCAAGACTGCAGAGCCTGGTCTAGGAGAAGCTCGCGCGGGCATAGTCGGGACAAGATCGTCGGTAAAGATGCAAGATTGGCTTCTTGGGTGCAGAAGTAGCCGGTCGAGAGATCGAGCCATGCTAGGCCGAGTGACATGGTGTCTTGAAACCCCTGAGACTGTCCAGCACGTCGGCCAACGCCAACGTCAACAGCTGATGGTGATAGGTGGTCTGATTCGGGTTCATGGCCCGCTAGTCCTCCTTCCGAGCCTGCCACTCGGCCGATAACGGTCTTTACATCAGTGACGGTATTTGTGGCTTTGATGCCTGTGTCAATATGAATCGCCATCACGTAGTTGTTGGCATATGGATCCATAAAATTCTCATCTATTAGAGTTCCGGGAGTAATGATACGAGCAACTCGACGATCGTGCATCAACCCACCTGATCTGACCTTTGCTGTGGGGGAGTTTGGATACTCCTCAGCGATCGCGACATGGCGACCGAGATCTTGAACGAGGATTTTGAGGAAACGATCGAGCTGGAAGAAGGGGAAACCTGCCTATAAGACGGATGAGTATGGTGAGACATTGGACCAGAAGATAAGAAGATAACGTCAAGGTAGAGGGCATTAATAAACATACCATGGGGACAAGGCCAGCATTTGTCCTTTTGTTAGCTACCTTGATGTTCAACAAGGGCCCGTACTCCTCAGCGTGCTCAAAGTAGAGCTCGTAGAAACCGCCCACCCGAGTCAGCAACACACAATTGTCAAACTTGAGCATGTTCTGACGGGCTTGAAGCAGCACGGTGGGATATGCGGGAGGATCTTGGGGTAATGGCGGCAGCGGGAGCGGCAAGGCCTCTGTCGACTCATCGTGGGGAGATGAAACTGACGATGACGTTGGTAGAGAAGACGCTGGCTTCGGTTGAATAAGCCCCTGAGGCAAATCGGAGAGCTTTATGGTGGTGGTGGTCTTTTTACCCCTGGTTTGGAGAGGACGGTGGGGAGATGGCGGATGTTGGAATGAGCGGATAGAGAAGCCATGGTATAGTGAGTGCTCAACATGACGGTGCCAATGAGGAATGGCAGAAGCTTTAGGTGGGGGAGCTGCTACTGTTGCTGCAGCGCCAGAAATAACAAATGTGGCTGCCTTGAGCAGAGAGCTAGAACTGAGGCCGAGGCTGAAGCAGGCACAGAGATAGACCTGGAGTTTGAAGCTGAAGGTGACGCCAAGGGCCGCAGATGGCGGATGCCGAACACTGGGAGCACCATACGGCTGGAACATGGAGACGGGATGGGCTGTTCCAGCGGCGACGATGTTTATGCAACGAATAGATATCCGTCTGAAGTATCCATCAAGCAAGGGCAGGCCAGTTTCTGATTTGAGAACAGCTCAGGAGGGGTCTTTGGTCAATCAACGCTCCAGCAACCTAGGCCTAGGTACATATGTGTGATTGATTAATGCTTGCTGGTGGGCTCGAGGCTGTCGACAATAGAAGCAAGATCTGGCGTGTAAAATGGTGGCACTGATGAACAAGGAATGGTATGGTGATCAACGGATGGATCATGCAGGGCTCATATGATGACAAGAAAAAGAGGAAGCATCCCCATACAACCCCGCTGGTGCGAGATGCTCGAAACTAAGGTGCCTACGTAGGTGTACGGAGTAATAGGTAGGTAGGGTAGCAAGGAAAACAGCAGCATGGGGCATCAAAAAGTGGCTCCAAATATTGCAGATTAGTTTATCATAGAACCAACGCGATTCGCTAATAGGGCACAAACATAGAACACAATCGGTCGGTGAGTTACAGCTTGCACTTGGAAGGTTAGGTAGGTATAGTAGAGTAGTTAGACAGACGCTTCAAATTCTCTATAAGGTACTAAGTCAATCAAATTCTGGTTGTTTCTATGTGGGGAAGAGCGCTATGGAATACATCGGTGAAGAAGAAAAGGGAAGGAAAAGAAGATAATTAACTGGTAGGTAGGTACGGAGTAAATCAACATCAATCGCACCAAGCCCGGGAGTAGGAGCCAATGTAACAGCTTCATCTGAGAGACCAAATCTGCATCGACGAGCATAGAAACACCACGGCGGACTCTCATAGTCACCT